GCTGAATCCCCTACTTTACTTGGAGGCCGCTGCAGATTGGAGGACTGACTCGATAGAAAAGAGAAAAGCATATTTGTGCTGATGGTCGTGTATTTTTATTATACTATTACTCATCATAAAGCTGAACATGTGGACCCTGAGTGCAGATGCGTTTTTAGATTAATTTTCCTTTGATATGATACATGTGTTATTGCAGTAGCAAAGGTATTCTTATACGGACACCTTGTTTGAATTTGACAGATTTAATTTTTTGTCAGAAGATTTGGAAGTAATTTTGTGTTATGATTTTGGACCGATTAAAACAGATGTTACCAAAGGGTGTAAATAGTTTACATACAACATATAAACGTTATTTGTGCAAGAATACTTGAAGAGTTTTTACTGAGGCATGCACCAATTACCGCTCCTAATAAATCGCTCGCCCAAATTTTAAGAAAATTCTTGTGAAAAGGCCCTTTGGGGATGAAAATGATCGAAATCGGTGTATTTTTGGTTAACGGGTGATACTCGTAAAATATCTGTTCCATATATTGAACCGTCGACGAGTCCAACTCGGCGCGCGTCCTGGTAGGTTGTAAACCTACAATATTTTTGGACGCTGATTACGAATCACCCCACATGTCGTAGGGTTAAAATGATTCCCTGGAGAGTTATGGGCAAAAAACCGATTTGGTCACGTGACAGGCTAGTAAAATACGAATTCGATTGTTTAGGGCTCGGGTTAGGGTTAGGGTTGTAGTAAGGGTTATGGTTAGCTTCGGGGTTATGGTTAGGGTTAGGGTTGGGATAAGGGTTTATGTAAAACTGTTTTGTACGGCTGCAAAACCATAAAAACCAAAGTCACGTGAAATTTTTGGGCGAGCGAATTAGTAAGAGCCAGATTTAACGGGTGATACTCGTAAAATATTTGTTTCATATATTGGACCGTCGACGAGTCCAACTCGGCGTGCGTCCTGGTAGGTTGTAAACCTACAAGGCGAGATGCACCACTGGGCCTCGCCGAGCTAGGAAGGATTGATCGAACATCGTGAATCAAGGCCACTCTTACTCGATCTGGTACGTTATAAGTCTTCTACTTCTAGTTACCTGGGGACCTCAGGCTATCAATCATCATGTTCATAAACATGTAAACATATATAATATAGAGATTAGGCGGAATGACAGGCTGAGCGTGGCCCAGTAAGTCTTCTAGTCGCTCTGTTAGCCATTCAACTAATTAGAGACAGATTACTAACGTGACAAAATTGTCCCTCGAACCAGATTTCCGTAAACATGCCCATACGTTGTTTTAGACCTATTAAAACATTCCTTTTAATAAATCTCAATCAAACAATTGGTTTCACTCAAATTAATTTTGCTGCAGATGTGTCAAAATAAATATTAAGTTTTAATGGTTTACTTCAAAATCTCGCAGACTGAGTTAAACATTCAAATCTTTTCTAATTTATCATTACATTAGGAAAATCAAAGCCATGAACAGAAAAGGAATGCCCGACGAAATCACCGAACAAAAAGCCACAGAACAACAAACAAGCTCCCTTTGGGTCTCAAACACCAGTCAACAAACAAAATGCTCCCTCGAACCAGATTTTACATCCTGATTGTAACCCCATTTCCGTTTAGAATTACCATGGAACAAGCTTTGGAAATTGTTCAGAACGTCGCTGAGTTTGGCGAGAAAATAATGAAAGAGAAAAACCGCCTCCGGGAGGGTAAATGCTTTGCTATTTCTATAATGTCATTTCCCTCAGACTAAAACTTGCAATATAATAGATAGGGTAGGATTAAAACAACATTTCTATTCTTCCCTGATTATCGTTAACTCAAATCCATCTCCCACACACCACAGAACGAAACGATCTGAGATTAAAACTTGCAAAAGTGACAGCCCAACTACCCATGCGCGTGTAATTGGTGTCACGTGACCAAATCGGTTTTTGCCCATAACTCTCCAGGGAAGCATTTTAACCCTATGTCATGTGGGGTGATTCGGAATCAGCGTCCAAAAACACACCGATTCCGATCACTGTCATGCCCAAAGGGCCTTTTCACAAGAATTTTCTTAAAATTTGGGCGAGCGATTTAGTAGGAGCGGTTAAATCTCGCCGATCTACGGAGAATATGCGCGGCGCGGCCCAGTGGCCAGTAGTTCATCGCGCTACAAGAGTGGCCTAGAGGATCCTCTTGGATCACCTGAGGTTAATCTAGTCCAGTTCTGTAAAGTATACTTTACGCAAAAGACTGTAAAAGAGCGATCGCGATGACCGAGAGTAAGCTCGAAATAATCTCAAAGCAAAGTTCAAGGTTGACAAGTGAAACTCGAAGATAAACTTTTAAAATATTAAAAGAATGATAAGCAACACTAATTTACAATTAAAATTACCCCTTTCTAGGGAACTAGACTAATTTATCACGAGAGGCTGTCCTTTTGAAATAAAACTATGTTTCTCCCCGGCCGGAAAGAGACTCAACAAATTTTAGATTTAGAACAAGTAGAGAAGTAGATCTATTAGTCAATACTTTATATTATTATTAGTCAATACTTTCTCAACCCCGACTGGACACTTCTGAACTCAAAATCGCTTCTTTAAATAGCAAATCCTTGACTCGCTTGCCTCCCGATCTCAGTAAACCTTGGAGTATAAGCTCTTGGTGTCAGGTAGGCGATTAAACATCTGGTAGCCATGCTAACATGAAGAGGGGCTGATATGAATCAGGATGATGATTAATCACTCTACACTCGACTGTCACGTGACTTTTTCAACCTCTTCTCTAGCTGGTCCTGAACGACTATTCGAAACCCTAACCCTCTAATCTGATCCCATCCCTAACCCTAACCCAATCCTTAACAAAAGCATATGCTTAAACCCTAACCCTAACTAGATATTAGACTAACTTCCTTATACGGTCATATCACGTGATCGAAACAGTTTTTCGCCAATATCTCGTCAGGGGAGCATTTTAACCCTATGTCATGGGGGGTGATTTGTAATCAGCGTCCAAAAATACATCGAATGAAGTTGGTTTCAACTGTAGGGGGCCCTTTTAGAACAATCTCGAAGATCGACTGTAGAGTGATTTAGCACGCTCGTATGAATCACAATAGCGTGGTTATTGGTTTATAGTGAGAATTGCTTCTTACAAACTCCCTATGAACTCAAAATCATTTATTCATATAACAACGTTGATTCAAGATGTCAATCCTTGACAGCTCGGCGAGGCCCAGTAGTGCATCTCGCCGATCTACTTTTAGCAAGAAGTATTATTGGTTGCGCGGCCCAGTAGTGCATTACGCTACGAATAATAACGATGACTCTCCTAGCTCTAATTGTAATTCTTTACGATTCTTGGATGCACGCGCTCCCGATATAAAATTACCAAAGGTATCGCAATTAATGCTGAAATGCCTTTCTCCATTCTCGGTTGTCATGGTAACTAAAAATGTGGATTTTAATGGAGAATGGTAAGAAACACTTTTTACATGAAGGGGACCTTGTATCACGTCGTGACCCCCATTGTTGTTTTATAGTCGTTTAACTATTATCGTGGCAAAAGCCACGATACAACCGCGCACTCGTGCGTTACTTTTAGCGCGATGCGTAACTATGAACTAGCTGTGCCGCGCCGCGCATCCAATAATGAATAATGCTTGTCGCAATGCTTCGTTAGATCGGCGAGATGCGCTCCTGGGCCTCGCCAAACTGCTAAAATTGACATTGTCAATTAAACTTGCGCGCGGCAGGTTTGATTCACGATATCAATCCTTTTATATTAGGGTTGTAATTGTATCACGTCGTGGCCCCCGTATTCTTGCTCTATCCAGAGCCCTTGCGCTTGCAGTATAGCGCGCGCTTGTGAAACAAGCGCGCCCGCAGCGGCGCGAAAGTGTTAGGGACGTGTGTAGTACCTCAGAACTAGAAGTTAAGTTGAACCCCAGTATGCTGCGTTAGTAGTAATTAGATTTGTAAATATGTGGATTAAAATGGTAAATAAACCATGTAAATTTGCAAATATTCACCGTAACATAAAGTGTCATAAAGATGAATTAGGTGAGAACTTATATGATTAAGATGAATTAAGTGATCATTTATATGATTAAGATCTGATTGGAGAGATTTGCAGAGCACTGCAACCATTGGTCAGAAAGGACATTTAGTTTTATTAGAATTATTTATAACGAAATTATTGGATTAATGGAGTTATTGAATTCGTCAATTAGTGGAACGGTATTTTAACCAGTTTTAAAACCCGGGATTTGTATTAATAATCTGTTTGTTTGCAATAACCTGTTTGTAATAACCTGTTTGTTGCTACCTGGATAACGCGCTATACCGCCTCATCTACTGGAACTCCCCTTCCACGGAACACTCTAGGACTACAAAAGGATGGAAGACAAGTTTATCACGGCCTTTTTCTTCTGCCATCGCTCTTTCTTCGGCAAACCCGGCCCGGGGTGATTTAGTGTGCTCTCTCTCTCTCCCATGTCACTAGTCCATTAAGAAGAAGTCACCAGAACATTGCAATTGGTTCCCGTCACTTCCGTAAATTCCCGCTAAGCTAGGAAGTTTGTTGCTCGAGGTATTGTTCTATTATTATGTAACCCATTCATTAGATGTTGTTCATTGCAATGTTATTCCCAAATTATTGTTTCACATTGTTCGTAATACTAAGGTCATTCCCGATTGGTTATTATTTAGTTCCTAATAGTTTATCATTTCCTAGGTAATATTGTGGGTGAGCCCTACCCTAACCTGCCTGCTTGTCCCAACCTTAGCAGCACCTACCTTATTATCTCGTAAGTCATTGAGCATTAATTGATACGTTCTACATATTTCGTATTCTACCGTTTACTCTATTTAACTTTATCTTGTTTAATTTTATCCTAGTTAGTATATTATTGTCATTAATTAATCCGTCACTTGCTTATAATTTGTCCGTTTTCAGGACAAACCCCTCCCACAGATTGTGCCTCGTTCCCAGCCGTTAGAAAGAATGTAGTAGAGAGAACGAGGGCAAATCACGGTCAGTCACTAGACTTATTTACATTGTGTAATTAATTATTATTTGTCATTATATTACGTATCACTTTATTATATGTTGATTTATCCGACCTAACGTGTCATTAGATTCTTAATTAATTATATGTCCACTTTACGTTCTCTTACCAATTCCATTTCGCAGTCAGTGATCCTAGAAGCTACCTGTCCATCGTCCAGAGAGAGAGTCAGCCAGCCCCGTTATAATACACACCAGTTCCCATTGATCACCCAGCTACCCAACTGATTTAGGGTAACGGACTTTACCATGAGATTGAACACTTATTTTATGTACGATTGGATTGGTCTTGCATTATTTTACAATTCTTATTAACTTGTTTTAATTGGTTATCTTCCAGATATAAATTCATCTAAAAGTTCGAAGTTAAAACTCTAGACATAAATTAACCTGAAAGTTCGAAGTCCATAGTTATAACATAAATTCCTGTCATAAATCTACCATTGTACACTGAGAGTTTGGGTTTGAACTATGCCCTGAGTGAGTCTCAAGCCGGGAGGTATTCCATAATATCGGAACCTGAATATCCATACTCTAGTTAAAAGGAGCCCATTATACGTAGTTAAATTAATACCATCACAATTTAATGAAATATAATAAATAAATAATCTCTAGAAGTCATGGAAAATTAGAGCATTAAATAGGCCGTTAAGTAAGTTGTCGTGCTGAAATCCGAGTACGCCTCTTAACAATGTAGCCCTAATGCGGCTCTCTCTGTACAAATTTTGGTAGCAAAATTTCAAAAAATCTGGAAGAGACGCCAAACTTTAGTTTGCTTGTTTTTGTTGTTATTGCACCGTTAGTGCAATTTGTTTATTTACATTGATAGTAGTTGTTGCAGCCATCACCATAGAATGGTGAAGCCACAACTGAGAAGTTTTGAAGTGGAGATAATGGTTTAGTGTAGAAGTGGAAAAGAATTTATAAGATATTGTGGGGTAGATATGATGAGGATATTTGGGCAAGAGGGATGAAGTGGAGATTTGGGAAGAGATTTGGTAAATGAGATGACGATGTGATGAGGATGTGAAAGGGAAAGTGGTGATAAATATCATAGGTAATATACGGCCGTATAATTGGGTAAATATGGGAATGATGAGAGGAGATGTATGATAAAGTTGAGAAGATTACGGGATATTATGAGATGTTGAAATGTGAGACAAGTATATTATGGGGAGATATATTAAACTGCAGTATAAACTATTAGCCGGCTAAGGGATACGGGGTTCAGAAGATGTTGTGAAGTTTATTGGGAGGAGGTGCTATAATGGTTGTTGACAAGGCGTTGGTTTTAATTAGTAGATGGGCTTCTTATCTGTTATTTGAGTGTTGTGATACCGCCAAAAGAGCTCTTGGTGGTTAGAAACACTTCAGATCCAGTGAGACCCTTCGAACTTTGAAACTAAGATTGGCAACATGATTTAGCGTAATAGGGTATGCGGACGTGAAGAAGAGAAGATATTTGAATTGTGATGAGACAGAGGGAGATTTGATAAAGGGGTTGTTGTTTAGAAAAAAAGAAGTGTTAGTATGATAGGGTATGCGGACGTGAAGAAGAGAAGATATTTGAATTGTGATGAGACAGAGGGAGATTTGATAAAGGGGTTGTTGTTTAGAAATAAAGATGTTAGTGTAATAGGGTATGCGGACGTGAAGATGGGGAAGATGAATTGAGATGAATTGAGATGAGACGAGTAATATGAGATTTTATAAAGGGTATATTGGTTAAAGTTGGCATAGTTGGAAATATGTTGGGAGATAAGGGATACAAATTTTATTGGATGCAGGGTATTTTAAGTTGTGAGTGTTGGCTGGTGGCTGCACAGTTATTACTGCACAGTTATTACTGCACAGTTATTACTGCACAGTTATTAATGCATATTGTTTACTGCATCAGGCAGTATTATTATTTTTTATCTTGAAGGTTCCGCAGAATACTGAGACAGATCAGCAGCTGCAGTAATTCAAGTATTATACAGAGCGTGAAGAAGAATAACGCCTGTCTTTTAGTTACGAACAAAGTTGAGAGAACTTGCAGGTCAGATGTTTTAGTGATAATAAATAAGTTAGAATATTGTTTTTTTTTGCAGCAAACCCTTTTGTGCTGTGTTTTGAATTGTGTAACTATAAGTAGATTCGGCTGATCGAAGTATAGCCGCTAGCTGTAAGATATTTCAAAGTCAAAGTAATTTTAGTTTTGGGTCAAGCTTTTGTGGTATAGAAAGTTTATCTGTCGTGTACATTGTACAATCATTATTTTATAATACAATAGTTATGAGGTATTCTTCACTATTAAATGACACATAGTGAAATTCTTGCTCAATGCTCATATACATTATTTGAACACATTAGCTTAAGTATTTACCTCTAAAAAACATTAAAAATAGGAATGGCCGAACGTGATAATGACAACCTCGATATTGGACAGGGTGAAGTTCAACCTCCATTACCTCCTAGGCAAAATCATGTTAATCAGGGAGCCCCACTTCAATTTCTCCGAGCACCTCCTTTGTTAAGAATGGACAATGACTTAGAGTTATACATCCGGCGTTTCCAGAGCTATGTCGATAGTATCGGAGCTAGAGATAACGAGATACCTCACATTCTCATAAATTGCTTATCCGATGAGTGTCTACTCGCGGTAGAGAGGCATATAAGACCAGAGATCACCTTTGAGGAATTGTTGATAGTGCTAAGGAGAGAATTAGGGATCGGAGGAGGAAATAGGGAAGAGTCGAAGTCTTTACTGAGGAAGACCCTGCGCCAACGTAATGAGTCTGTGAGAGCTTTCTATATTAAATTGTACAACATTGCTAAGAAGGCCTACCCCGGAGACGAGTTAGTACTTGTGAGGGACAATGCACTAAGAGATAGCTTCATAAATAACATACAGGATGCCAATATCAGTGCCCGACTTAGAGAAACACCTGAGCTACAAAATGAACAACTTTTAGAGAGGGCAGACCTTCTCATCAACTGCAAAAACGCTTCCCTATCTAGGACCCAAGCTGTCAACGCTGTGGATACAGCCATCACGCCGGACATTAATGATACAACCAATAAGTTAAACACTATTATAGATTTACTATCTGTTAATGCAATCAGCCAAGTCGCACCACGTGAAGTTCAGCCTGTAAACCCAAATACCGATACTCCCGCTTACAATAATGGCCTCAACCTCCCATACAATTACCAAGGATCACGTGTAAGCATCGGACTACCTAACATAAATTACTATGGACAACAGTCCAACAACTTTGACAACATGGCTTTCAGCAGCCAAAATGCACGTTACAACAACTATTACCGTGAAGGACGAGGACGAGGCCAAGGTTCCTACAATGACCATGAGGACAATGACTTTAATTATAGGTTTTAAGTTGTGGGCATGTATATTTCTTTTCTTTTTTTTTCTTTTATTAAAAAATTAATTTATTGAAGCTTGTGGCAACAAGTCTGTATATATTAATCATGACACACCAACATTTATACCAGATTCCTGGAAATCCTTTAATTCCTGGTAATGGCATTAGTGGCTCTAAATTTCTTAGAAATTCTGAAATTCTCTGTGCAAATTTAATTAGTGTGTTGATTCCTAGAAATCCAAATCCACCCGTTATATTAAAATTTATTAAACCTTATGCCCATGGATTTAGAGATTTGTTTTTTTTTAAAAGATAGTTAGTTTTTTTAATGTAAGATATTTTCTTTAAAAATAAAAGGAAGGGGCATTATTTTATAAAGTTCTTAAATTATAGATGGGGTTGTTATGACGGGGACGTCCTAAAATCGATCGGGGACATGTTAGGGACGTGTGTAGTACCTCAGAACTAGAAGTTAAGTTGAACCCCAGTATGCTGCGTTAGTAGTAATTAGATTTGTAAATATGTGGATTAAAATGGTAAATAAACCATGTAAATTTGCAAATATTCACCGTAACATAAAGTGTCATAAAGATGAATTAGGTGAGAACTTATATGATTAAGATGAATTAAGTGATCATTTATATGATTAAGATCTGATTGGAGAGATTTGCAGAGCACTGCAACCATTGGTCAGAAAGGACATTTAGTTTTATTAGAATTATTTATAACGAAATTATTGGATTAATGGAGTTATTGAATTCGTCAATTTTTTTATGAAAATCTTTTCAAAATTTACATACAATATAACATGTGGCGCAAAATAAAATCAAAATATAACCACTTAGTGGAACGGTATTTTAACCAGTTTTAAAAACCGGGATTTGTATTAATAATCTGTTTGTTTGCAATAACCTGTTTGTAATAACCTGTTTGTTGCTACCTGGATAACGCGCTATACCGCCTCATCTACTGGAACTCCCCTTCCACGGAACACTCTAGGACTACAAAAGGATGGAAGACAAGTTTATCACGGCCTTTTTCTTCTGCCATCGCTCTTTCTTCGGCAAACCCGGCCCGGGGTGATTTAGTGTGCTCTCTCTCTCTCCCATGTCACTAGTCCATTAAGAAGAAGTCACCAGAACATTGCAATTGGTTCCCGTCACTTCCGTAAATTCCCGCTAAGCTAGGAAGTTTGTTGCTCGAGGTATTGTTCTATTATTATGTAACCCATTCATTAGATGTTGTTCATTGCAATGTTATTCCCAAATTATTGTTTCACATTGTTCGTAATACTAAGGTCATTCCCGATTGGTTATTATTTAGTTCCTAATAGTTTATCATTTCCTAGGTAATATTGTGGGTGAGCCCTACCCTAACCTGCCTGCTTGTCCCAACCTTAGCAGCACCTACCTTATTATCTCGTAAGTCATTGAGCATTAATTGATACGTTCTACATATTTCGTATTCTACCGTTTACTCTATTTAACTTTATCTTGTTTAATTTTATCCTAGTTAGTATATTATTGTCATTAATTAATCCGTCACTTGCTTATAATTTGTCCGTTTTCAGGACAAACCCCTCCCACAGATTGTGCCTCGTTCCCAGCCGTTAGAAAGAATGTAGTAGAGAGAACGAGGGCAAATCACGGTCAGTCACTAGACTTATTTACATTGTGTAATTAATTATTATTTGTCATTATATTACGTATCACTTTATTATATGTTGATTTATCCGACCTAACGTGTCATTAGATTCTTAATTAATTATATGTCCACTTTACGTTCTCTTACCAATTCCATTTCGCAGTCAGTGATCCTAGAAGCTACCTGTCCATCGTCCAGAGAGAGAGTCAGCCAGCCCCGTTATAATACACACCAGTTCCCATTGATCACCCAGCTACCCAACTGATTTAGGGTAACGGACTTTACCATGAGATTGAACACTTATTTTATGTACGATTGGATTGGTCTTGCATTATTTTACAATTCTTATTAACTTGTTTTAATTGGTTATCTTCCAGATATAAATTCATCTAAAAGTTCGAAGTTAAAACTCTAGACATAAATTAACCTGAAAGTTCGAAGTCCATAGTTATAACATAAATTCCTGTCATAAATCTACCATTGTACACTGAGAGTTTGGGTTTGAACTATGCCCTGAGTGAGTCTCAAGCCGGGAGGTATTCCATAATATCGGAACCTGAATATCCATACTCTAGTTAAAAGGAGCCCATTATACGTAGTTAAATTAATACCATCACAATTTAATGAAATATAATAAATAAATAATCTCTAGAAGTCATGGAAAATTAGAGCATTAAATAGGCCGTTAAGTAAGTTGTCGTGCTGAAATCCGAGTACGCCTCTTAACAGAAAGCACATGGTTAGGTGAACCCATTTCCGTTGTTGTTTCATTAAGTGGCTAGTACGTAGTATCGTGGCCACAATACAGCCACGCACTCGCGTTTCACATAGCCATGTGTCTACGCGTACTGCGTGACGCGCTTGTGACTGCGTGACGCGCTTGTTTCACATCGTCTTCCACTTGATCTAACACATCCGGTAATGATTCCGAGTCACTGTCTTAAGGACATTCTAACTACCCCAGTGTCCCTTAAATGAGTGTTCGAACTGTTTTCATTCGGAGTTACAGTTGCATAATTTACGCCCGTCTTTGAGTTTGTGTGTAATCTTTCTTGATAGTGTATTTTTGACTTTTGGAGTAACTTTGTGAATTTTATGAACCTCTCCTGCATAATTTATTACCTTATCGTTACTGGGCCGCGCTCAGCCTGTCATTCCGCCAAATCTATATTCGGTTAATGAACATAATAGCCTGGGGTCCTCAGGTAACCTTATCGGTGCATTATCCACTTTTATCCGGTTAAATTATTATATTTGATCTTGTTTCTTTTTCGTACAGATTGTAGTGAAGTTAATTTTTTTACGTGTTTTGGGTCTTATTTATGATTATTTTATAATTATCTTATTTATCTCATTGATGTATTGTCACGACGGGTCCGTTAGTGTTCCCTCTGACTATTTAAGTTTAATTCCAGTTTAATTCCAGTTTTAATTCCAGTTTAATTCCAGTTTAATTCCACAAATAGAATCCCTGGCCGCCTTCAGCGGTCGCGCGCTACTGCAAGCGAGAGGGCTCTGGTTAGAGTTACCTGGGGACCCCAGGCTATTATGTTTATAAACATAGAGATTAGGCGGAATGACAGGCTGAGCGCGGCCCAGTAATGGTTAGAGCAACACTCGAGTCGCGTCGATCGTGCGTGGCAGGTATACAGCGTATGACTTGCAAGCGAGAGGGCTCTTACCTGGGGACCTCAGGCTATCATGTTTATAAACGTAATATAAAGATTAGGCGGAATGACCGGCTGAGCGCGGCCCAGTAAGAGGGCTCTGGTACGTTAAAGCAAGGTTTAACGGGTGATACTCGTAAAATATATGTTCCACACAGGACCGTCGACGGGTCCAACTCGGCGCGCGTCCTGGTGGGTTGTAAACCTACAAAGCAAGGTTAGGAAATCAGAATAACGGGTGTTATTTGAAGTGGGATATGATAGATCGACATGGGCTCGCTATAATATACAATATAGTCTCTAATATTGGCGCCTTAACTATGACATTGCAATGAAACGTACATTGCGATGAAAACTGCGGTGAAATGCTGCGCCTAAGCTATATAAACGTACACTTATATATTTATAAATGCGCGTGCAATGTCACCTGGGGACCTCAGGCTATCATGTTTATAAACAACGAATAAAGATTAATAGGCGGAATGACAGGCTGAGCACGGCCCAGTAAGCGCAATGTTATATGTGTGTACTACGACTTAACGGGTGATACTCGAAACATATTCAATATTTGTTCCAAATGTTTTCAGGCACCTAGACTGTGGACGAGTCCAACTGATCGGCGCACTTCTTGGTAGGTTAAAAACCTACAAATTAAAAATATTACTTGTAGCGCGCACGAGGCACTATTTAAATAAACTTGTTAATGGACTAGGATTTACTTACTTGGGTTACTTGGGTTGGGTTCCGAGCTAGAGTGCTACCAGGCCAAGAATGTCTTGCATCTCCACCGTCTGTCACGTGACTTTTTCAACCCGCTCGGCGCTCTCTAGCTGGTTTTGAACGACCTTTTGAAACCCTACCCCTCTAATTTGTAATCTGATCCCAACCCTAACCCTAACCCAACCCTTAACAAAAACATATGCTGAAACCCTAACCCTAACGAGAAATTAGACTAACTTCCTTATACGGTCATATTACGTGATCGAGACAGTTTTTCGCCAATATCTCGTCAGGGGAGCATTTTAACCCTATGTCATGGGGGTGGTTCGGAATCAGCGTCCGAAAATACATCGATAGAGGTTGGTTACAATCGTCGGGGACCCTTTTAGAACAATCTTGAAGATCGACTGTAGAGTGATTTAGCACGCTCGAATGGACTAAGGGGTCGTTCACATATTACGTTATCATTTTTGGAACATTTTTACCCCGGCATCAGTTTTACACATAGCTATTGCGTGTTGTGTCAAAATCACACTAGCGTAATCATTTGGAACCCCCAAGTTGTAGCGCGATGCGTTACGTGGCCGCGCACTCAATTATGCTTCTCGCAACCATCGGCGAGATGCGCTACTGGGCCACGCTGCAAGCTGCGAAGAATTCACATCTTTAATTACAAATTAACCCCCTCGGCTGATTACGTAATATGTGAACGCCCCCAACCCGGCGCGCGCTACTTCGAAGAAATATATACAATATACGACCCCCCCCCCCCCCCCCCCCATTTTTTGTGTTAAATTTTGATGTAGAGATACAAGAAATACACATTATTATATATATATATATATATATATATATATATTCATTGCTGTCTGAGACTTGAGAAGATTTTTGTAATATGTCAAATGGTTTATACAAATTCGAAAATAAAAAAACGAAAATTTTGATTACATAATCAATAATGAATGAAAATTGTCCAATCGGTATTTCGAAAATCGCTAAAAAATTAAAATTTTGATTACGTAATCAACGACCAAACCCCCCCCCCCTCGGATGAATACGTAATACGTGAACGACCCCTCACTGCATACTGGGCCGCACTCAGCCTGTTATGTCATTCCGCCTAATCTCTATGTTTAGAAACATGATAGCCTGAAGTCCCCAGGCTGCTTTATACTATTATATGACGAATGCGTTGACGGATTATACTCTGTACTCGTCTAAATTTCCTCGAAGTAGCGTGCGCCGGTCTAGTCCATTATGATTAACTGAATGGACTAACTAGATTAGCAAGCTAGATAAACTTTTGACGCAATTAGTCACTTTTAACGGGTGATACTCGTGAAATATCTGTTCCATATACAGGACCGTCGACGAGTTCAACTCGGCGCGCGTCCTGGTAGGTTATAAACCTATGAATCTGTCGATACATGTTACGTATCGGCGACGCTCGCTTCGTGCGCGAAAAGTGGCATGCAACGTATGTCAATGAATCTGTTCCTACACGTTGTATACCGTATGGCGTATAGGGGTCGTTCACATATAACTATATTGAACAATTTCAAAAAGTTATTACGTGGGGGGGGGGGGGGGGGGGGCCGGGGGTATAAATTGTCTGGAATGTTAATGGACCGCGCGCGATCAAAAGGGGTTGCAGCGTCTGTCATTTCTACTGTGTTTTCCGTGTAGATAATGCTGAATCACTTAAGGGTGATACTCGGAAGATATTTGTTCCAAATATTACCGTCGACGAGTCCAACTCTGTAATTTTCATACCGAAACCGTATTTTAGGGGCCGGGGTTTTTTGACGGATTTACTGATAATACTCAACACAAAACGAGTAATACCAGTTTCTGATTTTGAAGACATAACCAAATACTCCAAATTACAACACAAATTTCAAATAAGTCTGTATCTAGTATGGTCTCTAAACTATACTGTTACAGCTAAATCAATTTGGTGTAGCAAGCATGTATTCGTATCAAACATTAGAAAAATAGAACTTAACGAATCTTTGCATAATATCAATGTCTAAATATAGGACACGGAACTGGTCCCTGATTCTCATTGTTAGGAGTATGTTCAATCTCAAATTAATAATATAATGGCATCAATATACATCGTTAGGTTATCTTCGGCCGGAAAACAATTCAAAGCTGTCGCTACCATTTTATCAATAGCACAGAGATCATAAAAAATTGGTTCAGTACGTTCAGATCAGCATCAGACCCAGAAATGATTTAGAGAATTTGGGGGAAATTTTAAATTGTCCTTTTCAGTAAAGCGGTATTTGCATTTCAAAAATTTTCAAAAGCTGGGACAAATTAGGCATGGGGCAAAGGAGGCTAGCTCATAGAACAAATGAACAGGTAGGAGTGGTCATTATGGCATGCAACCCATTGCAATTGGTAAAAATAGTATCTGACAAACCAACTGCTGATCTAATACTTGAGAACACAATTTATATTTCAACAGAGCAGTGTACAATTACCCAAATTATATTTCGAAATTATCCTCGGTAATTAATTTGACAGCTTTAAGTGATAATCACCCCCTTTTCTTGGTGTCTTCAGCAAACAGAATAGAATTAAAAGTTGGTTTTGTCAGTAAATCTAAATGGAAATTACACTAGATTAAAAGAAAATCCTAAGACCGAAAGGACGGTTAAGATAACTCGATAAGATTAAAAAACTAAACTTTTGAAAATCAATAAATATTTCAAATTCAAGCGAACCCAAATTTAGACCCAAATAATCACATAACATTAGGCAGAACTTACTTTTTGTTTTAGAAAAAAGATAGACTATCCCTAGATTTCGGCCTTCACTCAGCAGTGAAACGATAACAATCACAGTGTCATGCATCATGTAAAAATATTGAAATGCGAACATTTCTGATCCTGATTTTCCATACTATAAGACCATCAGATTCTGATACAAGAAAAAAAGAAATCAATGTAAATTTTAAGAGCATTTGTGTATTCAAACGTGAGCTTGAACTAAACACGTTGATAACATGATAATTGATTAATTATAAGGGTAATTTTTTGGAAACAACCATAACAAATTTAAACACAAAATTTCATAAGCTTTCCTCCTAAAACGAGTAATGTCATGCAGTGACCTGGCATGCGCTAAGAGCCACGTCTAATTCTAAAAATGGAAACATAATATCCACTGACTGATCATGAAAACATGTCAAAAAATCTCCTGACCCCCTTGTAAACAAAACATAAATATATATATATCGTATCAATTCGGCGGGCACGCTGGGGGGGAAAGATCTTCACCCAATGTATCCTACAATCAAAGCATATTTGTTATGTACAAAATATATATCATCACCAGACTCGCTGCAGTGAAAAGAAGATTATCAGAAATTAACTTGTTAGTAATAACTAATTACTCTCCGAGGGCTATTCGGGCTTATCTTTCTCGAGCAAAAATAACATCATCAAAATAGTTAAGGGACCCAATATTCGATGTGAGAAGTCTTGTGGAACATGCCTTCCTATATCGAAAGTCGGGCGTTTGAGTCCCCAGCTTATACACCAATTATATAACCTATGCTGTACAATATTTAAAATTACCAATAGTTTATAGAAGTAACTGCTTCAACATCATGTCCAAAACCAGACAAGTTGCTTAGTAGTAGCGGCAAAAAGAATGATCAATTGAACTTGAAAAGTGCTCCACAATTGCTGCACAGAATATTGGAGCAGGTGGAATGGGAGAGATGGTAGCACTTAGTGCAGAAGAGCATGGGAGCGGTGGAACACACGCACTCCCCCGGGCTTCCCTTCACTACGTAGCAGCAGTGGTTGCCGCTACTCAGGTTTGGGTATTGGGAGGGCGGGGATGGCATGTCCGTGTACCGCCGCTGGTTTATCTTGGCTTTCAGCGCACTCCTTATACTCTCACTGCTGTCGGACCGAGAGTAGGGGGGTGGTTGTCGTGATGAACTTGACGGCTTTGCAGATTTCAAACTAGGGTCCTTGACAACAGGTATAGACTTGTGAGCTGGCGTCCTTTGAGAACCACTGTCTAACACTATCATGGGTTGGTGTTCCAAGGGAGCCTTCGTCAGTTTTGGAAGAGCTTGGGTTTGCTGTTTTTCTCTCATGTTTTTCACCAGGTTCTGTGTTTGCTCGACAGGTATGGAGCTTGTTTTGATCCCCTTTTCAGCAAGAAGTTGCTGTTGGAGCGATATTCTCCGTAGATCCGTTTCCTCTTCGCTGTACATTCCGTACAAATCCGGACTGTACCCGCCACCTAAATATGGTGGTATTTGACTGCTGGGACCTCCTTGATCCGCGTAGTAATAATTGTTTTTCGATTTACGCTTCTTAGACTTTTGCTTCTTTGAGAGAAGAACATTTTCTGGAGGTAAAACGATGTCCTTCTTAGGAATTCTCAGGGTAAGTTTTTCTCTTCGCTCCGTGTCGGTTCTAGGGGAGGAGGAGGTTGACGAGCTAGCACTCGGTGAATTGTAAATATTCAGAGGATTGGAAACATCTACACCGTTTTGTCGGGCAGGTGGTGCTGGTGTTGGTGGAGGATCCACTTTCTTGGCTTTCGGTTCCGGGATTTTCAAATCAACTTTGATCTCGTTCATAATATTAAGAGAGATATCGTCAGAAACAGCAAGTTTTGTCACTGTCTCGAAGGGCATCTCGTCAGATGGTTTGACCGAAAAAACCGGTTCCTCAGGGTGCTTCTCGATCTTGATATCACAGGACTTTTCATTGATAAAGTCGCAATTCAGTTCAGGATCATCTAAATCACCTAGGGAATCGCGCTTCTTTTCGACACCATAATCACTCATAATCGAATGGTCTAGATCTAACTCCAGATCCAAGTCTCCAAGATATTTAGAAGGCGGACTTTTGATAGGTGAAATTGGAGTTTCAGAAACTTCATGCTTCATATAAGAAGCTTTGATTGGTGAAACAGGAGTTTGGGAAACTTCAGGCTTAACATACGTATCATTCCGATTAATGATATGTGGCACAACCACAGCTTCAGTTTCCACAGTTTCTTTCTGGCCGCCCATTGTGATAACCAGTTTTATTTTACCAACGCTTGAACCCTGCTCAGAACTATTTTGATGTTCCATTCGAACTTTCTTGGGTGATTCTGGAGGGGTTATTTCTTCTCGAAAATCAAGATTTAACGATGCCTCCACCAACTCAGAGTTCGTTTCAGATGATATAGGACGATCAAGATGTTCAGGATCAGCTGTAGCAATATCACTTACTGAAGGGACTTCTTTTGAATCTTCTTTTTCGAGTGTTAAAGATTGATTTGATTCCTGAGGTGGGTCAGAAGTCTCTCCACAAAAATTATCATTTGTTTGTGTCCTCGCTTCCTCTTCAAAAAGAATGCCAATCCCGGCTTCTATCATAGAATTTTCAGGACTCTCGGGTTCCTCTAGCACATCTGAATCGAAACCACCAACTGAATGAGTCTGATGGACCTTTTCTTCTAACTCGAGCTTTTCGGGACCCTGATCGATTTCATGATCTGGGGTGAGAATGTGGAGATCCTTATCAGTAATATCGGGGTTTAACGAGTGTGACCTGTCGTGTTCTGAGCCGTCTGATGTTGGAGGAGTTAGAGTTTCTTGTAAGGGGTCTGGAGTCGGAGCGATGAAAAAAGTGGTGGGAACTAGAGCCAGAGCTTCTTTGATGCTGTCCTCAAAAGGTTCGTGCCACTGCCGCAACCTTGACTTGCTGCTCCGTACTTCTTCCGTTCGCCTAAAATAACCATATTATCAATATTTAAACACTATACCAGGATTGTAATACCGGAAACGGAAATCCTAATCCTTACCGCAGACGTTATGAAAAAACGTAATACTTGATTAGTTATTGATTAGTTAACAATACTTACGAGAATCCCCAGACATCCTCGAAGAAGGTTTCCTTCCAAGGGTCTCTAGAAACCTGTTTATCAGCTTCAGCTTTAATCTTGGCAGCGAATTCAACCGACAACTCTCCTAAATGGTATAATCTAATGAAAAACTGCACGATAGAAAAGCACCACTTTGGTTCATTATAATTGATTATGTTTGAAAATATTTCGCATCATGACTGAGGCGTGGTCAATGATAAAATAATCACACCTTAGTCACCAAGTCTAGGAAAGCATTGGCAATTTAATCAATCAATGATTTAATGTAATCTACCGATCATTGACTTTGGTTCATTATAAAATATACAATACAGTTACAATAATATGAACTTCATAGAAATCAGCTGAGTGACTGGTGATCAAATAACAAAATGACCGTGTCGAAGGTTTGAATAAAGTTGAAGCTGCACTGCTTACCTTTGCCGAGTTTGTCCTGCCACTCACGGAAGTAGGAAACAAAGAAGGAGTTGGTGAGAGCAGTCGGTGCCAGTCTGGAGAATAGACTTATCAACCATCACAATACAAGAGTGTCAGGGAATACATATTAACGATTCCGAGTTTAGGGCCGTGTATAAGAACAATATGGGCTTCGTCCTGGTCTAGTATACATAAAATGGCTTTATTATTACAAATCATTGTCCGAGATTACGTCAACATGGCCCCAGATCACCGCTAAGGACACGAAAATACACCTACTTCAGATTGTTACGTTCTTTTCTGACGTCCGAGGAGGGCAGTAAAGAGGCGAGGTAACGCTGCTGGCACTTGGACAGGTTCATGAACTCTTCCATGTTCAGACACTTCTGAAAATCACATTTGTAAACTATCTTCGTCACTAAATATAGTCAAACGTTTCGTACAAGGGCGGGAAAAGAAAACGTTTACTAAGAGTTCTAAAGTGCGACTAACCTTGGCGATGCCGTCATATTTCATGATGTCGCTGTTTCCATTGAGCATTTCCTGCACAACAGCTCTGGTTTCCGAGGAGGGTTGTACTGTGGAGTTAACAGCTTCCTTCAGGAGAATAGATGATTTTACAGAGGACCTCGAAACTGAAACAGCCGGCTTTGTTCGCATCCTTTTGTTCTTGCGGGCATGGTCAAACTGAAAGAGTCAAAACTTAGTAAGACTGCGGGTAAAGAGCCCGAAATTCGGGAAATTTCCGGCACCGGTCTGATTTGCTAGCTTTGAGAGTCAAATTCTTAGCAACCTTTACACAGAAAACGCTGAAGGGCCCAGAAAATAATTGGAAGTGCAAATAAGTATCATAAGGAAATGTAACTGACGCTATGTGACGAGTAAGGAGAGTAGCTGACTTTCTCCTCTTTTGCATGGATCAACGAATCTGAGTCCACGAAGTCGTCAGATATTGCTTTTGCTTTCTTTCTTTGAGGTAGCTGCCTTTTGTTCGCACAGATGTTGTCTGCAATCACAATTAAATTTAACCAAATTTAATCGGAGTTCGATAATAATACAATTGATATTTAATTAATGCTGGAGATAAAATCGTGGGTATATTTAAAGCGAATCTGAACAGCTTACCGTGGGTAAATATAGACGCCTTGTGGTTGTCCTGGAAGAATAAAATTATTGGGATCATTTTAGTGGTGTTTCAGTTGTCTCAATACACAATACTACGTCATGGTTGATGGTAACATCTAAGGAACACTTATTGTAGGTTGCGTAATGATCTAAGAGAATATATAGGGTGCTAATCTTGGGTTGGAGTGAAGTAATAACAGGTAATGTCATTCATGATTCAACCGCTCATAAAATTGAGGAAATTCTGCAAGAGCGACGGGATATCACATCTTGGATCAGCGTCAAGAAAATTTTTATGTCATTATAATTATTTTGAGACACAGAAAATGCTGAAAGCAGTGCAGTTTGTTTACGAGTGACTAGGATTGATGCTGAAATTATGTGGTCTACGCGCACGCGCGCGTACAAGATTTGGACAGGCCTCTGAAGGACCGCTATGGGGATATCGACAAACCACAAAAGGCTGGAGGCTGAGCAAGCAAATTGAATAATATAGTCATTTCCATCAACAACTGATGGTGTATAACTACTGCGAGGTGAGAGACTTACTGCCTTTCAGCATGATCCAGAAGAGAAAAGATTCAATAACATTGACTTCCCTTCATTCACAGGTAAGTTTGACTGATAATCTGATGCCGTTTATCTACATTCTACATAGTATTGAAGATTGTCATACTGAACCAGGCCATCTTCTATTTTGGAGATTCCTTGTAATCTTCTAGAAAAAGCTTTTAGTAAAACGACAATATTCTCCTAACTAATAAGGAAATCCCGGAACATAACCTGCCCAGACGAAAATGGCTCCCCAACCAAAGAAGGGTCTTCTAGTATGCTGCTGCTATTTCACGAGTATTCGTTCACAAGAAACATCTAATATAGATTAACATTAACTTCAAGTCTTATCAAACCGAAAAGTGGAAAGTAACTAAAAGGGTTCGAAAGGGCGGCTAAAATAAGGGCACGACAAGAGAAGCAATGAGCTATGAAGGTAGTAAAACAATAGTGGAGGGGAAAAAGGGAGCAAGAAGATACTGTGTAATACAGCCACTAGAGAGGGAGCATGTTGTTTCCCAACATTCCCCCTCTTAATGGCACTAGTGTACTTAACGTAAACTGATGTTAAGTTCTCATCTTTCTATTACATTTGATAAGAACACTTTAAACAGGCTACAGCTCATGTTACCTTGCTTTATAAACTAGTTCTTATTATATACTGGGGGGGGGGGGGGGGGGGGGGGGATCATGAGTAATCCCCCCCCCCCCCCCCCCCCCCCCCCCCCCCCATATACTAGATTTACTTCCATTAAGTGTGGTACAAGGCTGAGATATTGTTTTGGACCACTTTTTGACGGGAATGGTTGCTCCTTCTCTAAGACATCTCTATTAGGGAATGGTACAAATAGTTGTGATGTCATGACGTTTTATCGAAGCAATAACTGATACAATAAGTGACGACTTTCACGGGCCTCCTATTGTGCAAAGATTGCGAAACAGCATCGGGTGTGCCTTGCAGGATATCTTTTATCCTTATATAAAGGAAATTAGGGAGACCAAACCATCACTAAATGTTAAAGTAGGATTTATGCCTCAAACTTATTGATGGTGACGCAAGGTAAACCCGATTATAACTATGTCATGGTTAAATGACCAGCGAGATTAAGGTAGCTTTTAATGCGGAATGGGGCACATGTTTTTTATTGCGACTGTAGTAATAATAATGGTACACTATGTATTAATGGTACATAATAATGTACTAAGAGATTGATATTAATGTTGCTTCTCGCATAGTATAAAACGTAGTATAAAACGAGAAGGATCTTGGGAGAATATCTGACAAAACAAAATCTAGGTGCTTTCAGTCCCCAGGGTCCAGTAGCTATAAATAAATAATGGAAGAAAGATCAACATTACTATAATTTACTGTAAATTATTTGAATATAATGGGGACTTCATTACTAACCTAAGATGCGAATAAAATTAAGAGGATTGTTGCAATATTCCCAATATTATAAAAAAGAGTAAACTAATTGATCGCAAGATTTATTTCTCTTTATCGATGCGTCCGGTTAAAAAATGTCCACCACAGTCAAAAACCTTGGATATGGAGAAACTTAAAACCCTGGATGCATCTTAAGACAGTATTTATTTTTGGGTGTTTTTCTGGGCTATTTTGGTCCCAGATTCTTACTGAAGTTTTACATGGTTTATTAACAAGTCTGGTGGTGGGATGAAACAATATCCTCAAGTCTCTTTAAATTTATATCATTGATAAACGTGGTATTTATATATAAAATGGTTAACTCACGTTAATAACGAATTTCTTGTCCTCCACTTTGCAGATCACTGGATTTTTACCAGTTGAGTTAGCTAGCAACGCTCTCATCACCATTTCTCCGCTGTTTGGAACCCTGCAAATAATACAAATTCATTAACACATAGAATTTACATTCAATTCTTTATTTTTGACAGACAATTCTTAGAATCTTTACGATTGATAAGATTATAATTGTTGTTACAGACATCTTTTTCTGACAGTTAGCACCTATCTTATAATGTTTAGATTGGTTTTATTAACCGTTCTAACCTTTCTGAAGGCTATTTCTCGGAAATTCTTTACGGTAGGGTAAGTCAATTCAGAAGATTTTTAACAGTTCTAATTTTGGAAAGTGAAATCTAATTACTAATTACAATTGAGTGAGAAGGTTTGTGGTTATTTGACACTTATTTTTACTTACCTTGTATCTTTGAGCCCGAGGTCGGATATTTTCTGTAGGATTTGAGTCTGACACATGGCTCCCTCAGATTTACTTAGTACCTGAAGGAGGGTTAATTTGTTATAACCAATAAACATTTCAGATCCGAATGTAAAATATTGAAAATTTCAAAACGACGCGATGTACAATGAATTTGAAGCTCCGCAATAATCTCATCTTTTGGAATCAATTGATAGGTAAAATTCAAAACGCTGTCAGTTGTGACAGTCTTTTCCTAAAATGGCATAAATGGCATACATTTTTATGGGGAAAATGGAAAAACCTGACATTTTACATGCCATGGATTTTGAACATCGAATTACATGTGACACCTAAATTGGGCGACCTAACATGTTTATTGTTTATTTACTCATGCCAGGCTACTAGAGGCTCATACAAGCCACCAGGCTGCTAGAGGCATGATCTGCAAGACTTTGGCATGATACTAAATTAAGGTGAAATTGTTAGTATCTTGTCTGGATTAAATGCGCATTGCACCTGCGATTTGACCCCGCTCTAGGGTCCTACTTTTGACCAAGTACTCCCTACAGCTCTATAGTCCCCCGCTCTACAGTCCTGCTCCCAAATGTCCCTTTATATGCATATTTTTTTTGAGTAAACGGAGAAAAATGTGAGTGTTTTAACCCATTAGGGACGATAGGGTCGTTTTTATGACCCACCTTTTCTAGACGAAAAACCAAATTACTAAACGCTATAACGAATCTATAGCATATATGCTCAAAATTTATTGGGCTACATATAATGAAGCCCAATAAATTTTGAGTATATATGCTATAGATTCGTTATAGCGTTTAGTAATTTGGTTTTTCGTCTAGAAAAGGTGGGTCATAAAAACGACCCTATCGTCCCTAATGGGTTAAGGGAACATACTCCAAAACCGTTTATGATTTGGCAGAGCAAATGACTCCCTATTAGGAAAATATAGACACAAACAATGTATTTTGGCACTTTTTAAGGGGGGGAGGGTGGGGTTCACCCTGATTTTTTTGTGAAACTTGTTTTCGAGATAGCCAGTTGACCAACAAACTAGGACCGGTAACCAAACTTTTGAGGGGGTCCCGGACCCCAACCGCCAAACGGTGCCTGCGGGGCAGCCACGCCCATATTCTGTCCAAATTAGGCCCAATTTAGCCAAATACCCTGAACATGCCCAAACCCCAGATTTTAGGTGGCCTGGTCTACTTGTAGCTAGTGGTCCCCTGAACCCGTATATGAATTTTCATCAAGATTGGACAAAAAATGGCTGAGTTATGAGCCAAAAACCATATGACCATATTTGGGCATACGCACCAATTTCGATCGATTTTGGCCCATAAATTGAATAAATATCAATATTTTTGAATGAAACTAACTTTATATGGAAGGTAAGCCTATACTACACATTCTCTATGAATATCAGCTCAATATCTACCTAACTGTGGAGGTTGTGTTCAAATAATCGCAAAAAATGAACAAAATTGCCCATATCTCAGTTTGCGATATTTGCAAAACTGACTTCGCTCAAAACGGCCGAATTCTGAAAAATGCCCGGCAAATTTTGGAATTTGGCAGCCAAATTTTTTTAAAGGCCTAACTCAAAATTCTGTCCCAAAACTTAAGGTCGAAATGCGATTCTACGTTGATTCTGAAAATTTCATGTAAAAATATTGAAACCCTATTAAGTTCTATTGTTTTGAGCGAAGTCAGTTTTGCAAATATCGCGAACTGAGATATATGGGCAATTTTGTTCATTTTTTGCGATTATTTGAACACAAAATCCACAGTTATGTAGATATTGAGCTGATATTCATAGAGAATGTGTAGTATAGGCTTACCTTCCATGTAAAGTTAGTTTCATTCAAAAATATTGATATTTATCAATTTATGGGCCAAAAACGATCAAATGTTAATTGGTGCGTATGCCCAAATATGGTCATATGGTTTTTGGTTCATAACTCAGCCATTTTTTGTCCAATCTTGATGAAAATTCATATACGGGTTCAGGGGACCACTAGCTACAAGTAGACCACCTAAAATCTGGGGTTTGGGCATGTTCAGGGTATTTAGCTAAATTGGGCCTAATTTGGACAGAATATGGGCGTGGCTGCACCGCGGGCACCGTTTGGTGGTTGGGGTCCGGTACCCCCTCAACAGTTTGGTCACCGGTCCTAGTTTGTTGGTCAACTGCTATCTCGAAAACAAGTTTCACAAAAAAATCAGGGTGAACCCCCCCCCCCCCTTAAAGTATTCGCACTTTCGAAAATATTCGAAAAGTACTCGAAAAGCTTTTTTAAATGTTTTTGGTTAAGTCACATCGGTTGCTATATTTAGTCGGTTTTATTTTCAAGGTATCGAGCCAATTCGTAAACCTTCACATTAATTCCTACGAGAACCTTTTCAAATTAATATTTGATTGAACAATAGATGACTAAGTTACAAGCTGATTAAAGCTGAGTGCACAGAAGAATTACGATTTTTTCCTTAACACACAGTACTTTAGATATCGTTCCACAAATTCTTGTGAGTGTAACTGAAGAGGGGGGGGATCATACACTTAGTACCGTACGTGACGTTAGGGGGGGGGGGGGGAGGGTGGGTCATATTTTTTCCAAAACACAGTTAGTATTTTTGTACTAAGTGGTGGGTCTGCTGCTCATTTCCCAGAAAACAGTTAATACATGGTACTAAGGGGGGCACGTCCAACCCCAAAAAAACCCATTTTACCTCATATTTCAATTTTGGGAATGGTTTTTGAGGTTTTTTTCCTTTTTTTTGGGTTTTTTTTGAATTTTTCTCTTTTTTTTATCTAATTCGACTACATTGAAAACAAAACCCCTACTAAATAGCGGGTATAATTTGTCCATTTACAATGCTTAATGAGCTGTTTAAAGCAATGGGAAGCAATTTATGGGTGGGTATCTTATTTTATATACCAAGACACAGTTAGTACCGTGATTTCTCAACAGTTAGTACCGCAAAATTAAAGCCGGCAAAAAGGGTGGGTGTCTTAATTATTATCCTAAAAAACAGTTAGTACCGCAAAGGGGGTGGGTGGGTGACGAAATCACTGATTAAGTGCCGAAATCACGTATCTGCGAGATCTTAAAAGAGTCATAACTCGGTTAAATTGTGAACAACCAACTTGAAATTTTGGGAAAGCACTTCAATTATCAAACCAAATGTGTCTAGAAACTTTGGAGTTCCTAGCTGAATAGCTGAATGGGAATGGCGTGCCACACCCTCTCTCATCAATGAAATTTTACGAAACCTTTAGGAAATTTAAGTTTGACCCATATCTATATGCTCTAAAACTTTTGTGCAATTTTGATACGAATTACGTGAGTTATTGAAGGGTTGCGTGTGGGCAGTTACTGTACAATCAGCTTGAATTTATATTATAGAAAACTTATACGTGTTCAAGCTAGATAATCAAGTTCAAGGTCGAAATCGATTGAAAAGGGCAAAAACTGTCATTTCTCCGTTAAAAATAATTTCTAGATAAATATTGAAATTAATTTACATCGTTCTCTAAGGTTGAAACTTTGTAAAATATTGGTTTTTCTAAAGTACCAATATGGCATTATAAAATGGCATAAATTTATATGGAGAAAATTTAAATTTATGCCAATTTCCTGGCGGGATCAGGGTTACAGACAGCGTTTATTGAAATAACTTACAAATTTGGTCGCATCTAGCCAGGAGAAGTTGTTTCTTCTTTTCATGCCTGACCATTACTGCAGGAGGTAGATGGCATCCTTCACATGGCTCACATCGCTATAGTAGTTTGTTTGTTAGTTATTAAATTGTGTGGTTAAAATGTGTAGTAGTAATGGTAGAATAAAAGGGTTTTTTTTCAGAGAATAGGGCATGATCAATTAAAATTCTAGCCATTTCTTTGTCCATGCAGAAATTGGTCCAGCATAATAATTTAACCAAGCTTGTCATGAGATTTGACAGCGATCAAACAATCAACTTAAAATATTGGTACACAACTTTCACTGCTGTAAATTAAATAAATCACATGTCCAATTGTTTTTAAAAAAATTGATCAGTACCCAAAAAGCCCGACCACTAAGGGTAGACAGAAGGATAGACACAAGGGTAAAGTTATTACTAAAGACTGTTCGATATCTACCGTAAGTGCTCAGCCTACTTGGATACTGAATAGGTTTAAATTACCAAACCATGTTTTCGTTAGTATAGTTCTAACAACTTCATACAAACTTAATCCATTAATTTATGTTTGAAATCTGTAAAATACTGCGAGAAAATAGCCACATTATCGGTCTCAGCGCTGCAAATAAAAACCTCAGAGTATGAGCTTGACTATAGGATGGAATGAAAGTAAAACAAACAAATTCTTGTTGCACTTTGATAAGAGCTAAATGAGTTAAAAACCTTTATTAAAAAATCAAATAAATACCCTTGTAAGTTAAGAAGTTAAAAATTTCAAGTCAGGTTTTAGCAATAAACTTCTTCTGAAACCTGACAGCATCTTTATGCCTCTTCTTGTATTCTGCAGTAAGCTGTTGTCTCTGGGATATCCAATCTTGCTCAATTTCTTCCATAGTTTTAGTTCTCTTGAACTGAGAAATGGGACCCTTTCTAAATAAGGGGTTTATGCTGTAAAAGAAATAGTTGTCTTGTTGACGTTTTACAGATTCTTTATTAAAAGTTTTAGTGTCAATTGTTTCTTCTTCATCGGAAGAATCACGTTGAAGTTCTTTAATTGAGAAGTCCTGTGCTTGGGCCTGATTTGTATCACTCTCTTGGACATTAGTTTGTGAACTCTCAATAGCAAAATCAAATTTGAAACTAAAACCGTTGGAATTGCTTGTGTTATCAGCAATAGTCTTATTAAAATCAGTTTTTACTTCAAAGAATGTACTTTCATCAACTATTGGCATGTGATCAATCTTATCTTTTGCTTTTGTTTCATCTTCTTTGTTATTTGAATCATGCCCCAGAATTGTCTCCTCAACAGGACCATCAGCTTCTAGTGGAGCTTTGTGAGAAACTAAAAATTTCTCATGGTTGACATCAGTTGGATCAAACCTTACATACTGATCAACGACGTGCTGGTTTTCTGCCGCTGTTATTGGTTTAGCAGTTATACCAAGGCCACCCAACACAGAATCCATTGTGTTGTACAAAGTTTGTCTTTCATTATTCATTTCTCTTGTTTCATCATCTTCAGAATCAGTGTTACTGTCTGAGCCAGACTCAAACCGAGTATCGAGCTGGAATCTATCATCTGAACCTATTTTACTTTGCATTGTCATAAGTTTTACACCCTTTTTACCCAAGAATTGTGGCTTGACAGCAAAGCAAACATCTTCTTCCTCATCAACATCATGAAGAATGTCAGTCATTTTTTGGTCGTCTTGTGTGTCATCATCGTCAGAATCACTGAACTTGGTAATCTTGCTGACAGCTTTGTCAGACAATGCATTACGAACAAGTTCATTTTGGGAGGACTGAGTCAGCTTTCTATTTTGTAATGCTGCAAGCCGCTTTTCATTGGAGTTCTTTTGGGTCATAATTGCTTTACAATAATACTGTAAATATTGGATTTCAATTGAAAAGTACTTAGTATTCTTGAATGTAAAAGATTTGTCTATTAAATATTTAAATGTAAAATTAAACAGCCAACAGGTCTGGTCCACTTTAACTTACAGAAGTGCCTCACATGATGAGGATCAGATGTTGCCCTTATTGTTAAAAGTCAAACCTTATCTGCCTTTTTAGATGAATTAATTGGAACAATCTCATATATCAACTTAGCTTCAAGTGTGCATATCAACACTGATGTCAAATTAAGTGTGTAAATATTTTTACCACTGGTTTGCGTAACGTTTAGAATCCAGAGATCCCAGAGTCCTGAATCACTAAGAACATGGAAAAACATAGCTTTATTCTGTTTTAGATACTACTGTTTTAAAAAGGGAACTTGATGATGTAAAGAATTGGACAGTGATCACACTTCAAAGGCACTGGAGGGGGATGTTAAGACACAAATGAAGTTCGTTAGTGATTTTGAAGACATACGATTTGGAAGACATTTAAGTTTTATTTATTTAATCTTTTAAGGCCAGAGGGGGGGGGGGGGGGGGGGTAAGGGGTCAAAAACATCGACCAAAATATTATTATCTAAATCAATATAATTTTTAATGACAAAAACATTGCTGCTATTCACATATTTGTAGCTGCTCAACTTTTTTTAATAATTGAGGTTAACCGATTTTCACAAAATTGACTATACAACATTGAGGTTAATAAAATTGAGGTTAATATTTTATTACACTCCATAATCTTTTTTAAATTTCGGTCAGCAAATGTTAACTCTAAATTTTAGGTTCATAATTATCAGAAAAAGTAATTTCCAAACGTGATTAAATGAGGTTAACCTCTTTTTTTTAGTTATAGCGAGAATAGATCAAATGATAGAGCTATTATTTTCATCGTTAGTTTACGGTATACACATTTCTAAATAGATGACGTGTTGATTGACTTTCTTTTATCTTGGAAAAATGGAAAAATGAGGTTAACCATCACATGTTGGTACTGTAGGGAATATACATACGATTCTTACTTAAATGTAATGTACCACAATATCGCAGTGAGGTATCTATTGGTATCACAATGCCTACAACTATAATCACGCGACAAAGGTGATTTGAACCGACCACATTTTAGTAGAAGATTTTATCCGTAAATGGCTAAAAAATGAGATTAACCTCTCATTTTTGGAATATCTGACCAGTCAAATACATGTTAACCTCAAAAACTTAATTTCGTTACACTGTGCAAATGTTTTACTACATATATAATAAGATATTAATAAACTAATCCCAGTGTTATATGGTCTAAAGCGAGGTTAACAACCAATTTTTTCCTACTTTTAAGTAGTAAGTGTTTACAGGAAGTCTTGGTTAACCTCATTTTTTACAATACAAGGACATTAACTACTAAAGGTGGCTAAAATCATTTAGGGGATGGCTAGGTCTGATCAAGGAAACGTTGTTAAGTGTATAGAAAGTCTTACTGACAAGTCTTACTGACAAGTTTATAGCAGCATAAATTGGAAAAATTTTCATGCTCTCACAGCAGTTCTTGCATTAACCCGTGCATTAGTAAAATCACAGTTTCATACCATGCCAAAAAGCTTGCAGTGGGACATTGCAACATGCAGGGAGGACTAACAGGTATGCCAAAATGTCTTGAAATCCAAGATCTAATCTGGAAAGAGAAATTAGATGTTTTATGCCTGAATGAAACAAATCTTAAGTCGGATATTGACTCAGCCAGTCTAAACCTACCCAAGAATTTTACTTTTATCCGCAAAGACCGCCCTAACGACAATGGTCATGGGGGATGTGGCATTCTCATCAGTGAGCACATAAAGTTTAAAATGATTCAACTAAACTTAGTTTTGCAATATGACCAAATCGAGGCTATTTGGATCCATCTTACAGATTGCAATATTTTCATCTGCTGTTTCTACAGATCTGAGTTGTTTAGTCCTCTTGACAAATTTTTAGATTATATGACAGACTGCATGATGAGTATAGGAAGTAAGAATGTTATTTGGCTGGGTGATGTAAATGTAGACCAAAACAACATCAGCAGTATGAACTATAAGAAATTAGACATTACAATGAAAATGTTTGGAATGGTACAGGTAGTTCAGGATATTACCCGCATTGCTAAACTAGGAAACAGAATCACAAAGACCACAATCGATGTTGTCATAACAAACACTTACTCCAAGTTTCTTGACTGCAAAGTCCTTGATGATTGTATAGGAGATCATCAGGTCGTAAAGTTCATTGTCGATTTCAATGTGCATAAGGCCTCAAAATTCAAGAAGTTACTAAGAAGAGATCACAGCAAAATGAATGTTACTGCTCTTAAAGAATTTTTGGAAACTTGTGATTATAGACCAATAATAGATTCAACTAGTCTGAATGATGCAGTTGATGGTTTAAACGAACATATTGATCACTACTATGATCACTTCTGTCCAATTAAACAAATTAAGTGCCATAGTGATTACATCCATAAGCCATCTCCAGAATTTTTAGAAAGTAAGAAATTGAAAGGGAAACTTTACCGTAAATTTTTAACACACAACAAGAACAGACGTATACATCCAAATGGTCTTATACACTGTAATAAATGTGACTCATTATGGATGGCATATAAACGGCAGAGAAACTATTCAACCTATTTGTCTAGAATTAATAGGAAGACTAACTTAGCAACAGAACTGAAAGCCAAGTGTGCCATGAATGATCTAAAGGGTGTATGGAAAACGATAAAGACAGCATCAAATCTGCCTGTTAAAGCTAACAATATCAATAACAATCTTGATGCTGAAACCACCAATAAATATTTTGCTGAAATAGGTCCAAAGATCCAAGCAGAAGTGCAGCTGGAAAATGAAAATGAATTTCTATCTTATCTACAAAATGAGCAGATTGACAACGAGACCAGCTTGAATAGCTTTACTGAAATAACTGAGTCCAATATCTTAGACTATGTGGCAAGTATCCCTTGTAGCAAATCCACTAATGATCATATACCATTGAGAGTGTTTAGACAAATTTTACCTGCATTTATTGCTCCATTAACACATCTTGTAAATTTGAGTTTATCCAGTGGCATCATGCCAAACAGCTGCAAGGTTGCAAAAGTCACCCCAATCCATAAGGATGGTGATACTGAGAATCCTAGTAATTATCGACCAATCTCAATTTTACCGATTCTTGGAAAGTGCATCGAATTTTGTGTGAACTCCCAACTGACTCAATATCTTGATGAAAAGGGAATACTTTCAGAGCATCAATATGGTTTCCGTAAAGATCACTCTACAACTTATCTCATGTTAGATCTGTTTGATCGTATATTTACTGCTAAGAACAGCGCCAAGCATCCTGCAATTATCTTCCTGGACATCAGAAAGGCATTTGATACTGTTAACCATGATATTCTCATTCAAAAGCTGAAGCATTATGGAATAAAAGATACTGCATTGAGCTGGTTTAGGAGCTTCCTCACAGATAGATTACAGCAAACTAGAGTTGGGAGTAGGATAAGCAGTTTACATTCATTGAACTCTGGAGTGCCTCAAGGAAGTATATTAGGACCAATTCTATTCAGCATTTTTATCAATGACCTGCCTAATGCATGCCTATTTTCTAAACCTTATCTATTTGCTGATGACGGTGCATTATATTTTGACAATATATCTAGAGGAAACTATGGTAACATCAAACAAGAGTTGAAATTAGTTATCAGATGGCTTCAGGCTAATAAACTATCCCTGAATAATGAAAAAACAAAACTAATGATCCTTGACTCTAAGCCTAACCTTGATGCCATCCTTGTTGAAATTTGTGATGACCTTACTTTGGTAATCTGTGAAACTAAATCCCATAAGTACCTTGGACTTATAGTTGACAGCAGATTGACATTTAATGAACATATTGATAACATTAAGAAAAAGATATCCAAAAGAATTGGTGCTATGTATAGATCAAAAAAACTTCTCCCTCTTAAGTTCAGGAAGATGTTTGCTAATGCACTTATGTTGCCACATTTTGACTACTTAGACACCATCTGGTCAAGAACATATAAAAAACGACTAGGAGAGTTAGATATCATGTACAAAAAGGTTGCTAAAATAGCCCTAGATGTAAACATCAGAGAGAGGTCGGTTAATGTATACAAAAATATGGGATGGCTTCCTCTCCATTTGAGACGACAGGTTCATCTTAGCTCATATATGTACCGTATAATCAATGAAACATGTCCAAAGCATTTTATCGGGAAATTCTCGTATATTTCTGGTGGATCACGTGAGGCAGAAAACTGCAATCTTTATACTCCTAAATCAAGATCTCACAAGGAGTTTAACTATCTAGGAACTAAGGCCTGGAACATATTACCAAAGTCCCTTAGAGAGTGTGACGACGTTAAGAAATTTTCTAAGTTATACAAAGAAACTCTTATGAATATGGTGCTAACTGATGAGAATTACCAAGGGGATAACTCTAACGATAAATTCATGATCCCACCCAACACTAGCCAATGTATCTAGGCAGTTATGTTATTTCGGTTAAGTTATCTCAGTGAATAAGTGAATCCAATCTATCCCCTGCAATCAAGGTATTTCCATGCCTATTAAGCTATTACAGGAAATTAGGAACATCAGTGGAAAGGTGCACTGTCAATCATTATTGCTCCATACCTCCAGTCCTCCTGTTATGTGCAATTCTCACTGCTATGTATGCTCCTCATTTGTATCAATTATATTGATGCTACATTGTTATTGAATATGAAATAATTTTCAACCGTATTAATTTATTAACTTATTGTAAATAGCAAGTTTGACAAAGGGATTACGTTTATTTTACCCGGAGTTTTTTTTGATTGAAATAAATTTTCGTGCACATACAGAATGAATGGTTAATAATTTAATATATATGTAGACCAAGCTCTGTGCACGGGATGCTTCCTGGAAGAATCCAGTTCTTTTAGCGGGGCACCCTACCTAAAGCCAAATTGAGATATAATAATCATATTCCTAGAGAAATAATCAGAAATCGAATACCAATCAAATAATATGATATATATGAGTAGTAACCATATTTACTATGCAAAATGCCCCAACCACATAGTGTAAATTTATATAGAATTCAAATTCCATATCATCATTAAACCTCAATACCTAGTCAATATAATAGCCCAAGCAAAATTAAATAACTTCTTATATACCTTACTGTCATACTACAAATTAATTAAACATTTGAAATCTGATGACCAGAGAATAAATTTCTAAGCCTAATGCAAGTGAAATAATTTAGATGCAATAATGAATGCCTAATGTGAGTATCATTTGTCAATGTCCTTGTAAAAAAGTCTGTACAAGAGATATGAGTAACTAATATAGAAGAAAAAACAGGAAGTTGTCGTCTGTTGTAAAATAAATAAAATATCTAGAATATAAATTAGAATATAAAATAACATTCAGTCAATGTGTCGTCAATAAACTGTACAATTATCAAATGTTAAAACTGGGTGATACAGTCACCAAAAAAAATACTAAGTATGATAAGTTAATAAATTAAATGTGGTCTATAAAACAAGCAAAATTAAATAACTTCTTTTAAACTATTTTCACAACTACAATTAAATACATTTATTGAGGAATAGCATGTACTAGTACCCCCAAAGGGGAGCCGTGAGTAATTCGTTGTTTGTTTGCTGTGCTGTCTTTATTAGCTGTGTGTTGCTTGGCTGTGTGATGTCAGGTACAGGTATAAAAACACCATCTACCGGAAATAGACGTGGCTCTGTGACAGGAACAGGGCAAAACACTAAAAAAGAGCATCATAATGTTGATAGATGCCCATGTAGCCAGTCGAATACTGGAAGCTTCAAGCTAGTATGCACAGGATGCAAACAGAACTGGCATGCAGATTGTCTGGGACTAAAGGGTATCACGAAGCCGTCAATATTGAAGCTGGAACAGTGGTTATGTCCATTTTGCTACGTAGCACCTGTACCAACCAACTCACACGACAACTTCTGCTACAAATGTCGGAACACCCTGAGTCTACAACAGTCCAATAGTGATTATGAGGTACACTCTGCCTGTCAGAACCTCAAAGACATAGAAACCTTGACAAAATCACTATCAACAATTGATGTTGATAAAATGAAAGAGTCAATCCAGGTGATCCAAAACCTCGACCTTCACCTGCAACACCTGCTAACCAATGAACATGGTTTGAAAGACCATCAAAACCGGGTCAAAAGCATAGAAGACCACTGTAAAGGAGAACTAAGTGAAGATGTGAATGGTGTTAAAACGGCTATTGAGGACCTTCAGAAACAAATCACTGATCTTTCCACCAAAGGTCTTGTCTCATCTACTGCTCCCAAGCTTGACACTGAGAAACTGATACATGATATCATTGACCAGCTTGATGAACATACTCGGCAGGAACCGCACATTTCTCTTGAATTGAAGGATATCAAGCAGTCTCTAGACCAACTGTCTACCCAACAGACTACAATTCCTCACGATAAGCCATCATCTGGCTCTGCATTAAATGATAAGCACCTTCTATCAAAGACCATCTTTAAAAATGAAGAAAAACCTGTGGCAGACACAGTGGAAGAATTCATAGACAGTGATGCTGAATCAGATCTTCTCCAGTACTGCGAATCTCTTCAGTTCAGCAAGGAGAATGGGCACTCAGTGTGTTCGTTTGGAGAGAAATACAAATACAGTGGATCCAGGGATGAGAACAAGAAAAATGCAGAAATACCGGAGAAACTGGCTGCGCTCATCCTGAAAATTAATGAGAAGTTCTGTGCAGAAGAAAATCCTGTAATGAATAGCGTGTTGATCAACCGCTACGAAGAAGGCGAGGGTTACCTGCCAGAACATTCTGACAACGAACCAGTGATACATCCAGAATCTAGCATATTGACTCTTTCCATTGGAGGTGAATGCGAAGTCCTCTTCACTGAAATGAACAACTCAGTTCACACACACAAGTGTACCCCCAGGTCAGTTTACAGGATGACCAGAAGGAGTCAGGCTCACTACAAGCACTCTATCCAGAAGGGGTCAGTCACTGGTGCAGTACGATATAGTTTTACTTTCAGATCAATAGACGGAAAGAATCGTGCTAGTACTTGTATCTTCTCTGATTCAAACGGATCAGGTATGAAATTTGGAGAGGATCACAAGAGGAGCTTTGGTAAATGGCTGCCTGGTCGGAATGTTTGGACTCCGACAATAGATGACATTAACCCATATCTTGCATGTGGATACAAGAACGTTGTTATTATGTGTGGTATTAATGATGTTAGAAGACCATCTGTTAAATCTCAACGTGAAATTTTTGCTATATTTAGTCTTTTAGAATTCAAGATTGAGCAAATCCAAGAGGCCAATCCAACTGCTCAAGTATTTCTTTGTCCACTTTTACCAACTCGAAATACTGACTTAAATAGGAAAGTTCTATACTTTATAGAGCTTATTCGACGTGAGCTACTTCCCAAAAACTTTGGTGTCCAGTTCGTTGATGGCTTTGATGACTTCCTGGATAATAACACTGGCTTACTTTGCCCAACCTTGTCCAGGGAGTTTGACAAATATGGCCGGACGGATTACCTGCACCTTAATTGGAAGGGAGTGGCCAAACTTGCTACTTTAATCCGTAATACTGTCCTTGTTAGGATGCATGGAGGGACTGATAGGAGGAAGAGGGGTAGGAGGGACGGTAAGGTTGGTTCAACACTTTATTCTCATGCCGCCGGAGGACAGCCTCATGTTGAAGGCTATCAGCCTCCAGTATGAATGTTCTTAAAAAAGAGGTCTGTGCCCACTGTTTAAAAAGTATCTATCTAGGTCAATCTATATTTGAATGCTACAACTGTAACTGTCCCATTCACTCTAGATGCTATAACACCAGTGACAAACAAAATCAAAAAGTTGACTTGTACTGCAATAATTGTCTCCACCTAGCAGTAATCCGTTATAACCCATTCAAGCTTCTGAATGATGACAATGATGATAACACTGATGCAGATGATGTTACACGTAAAATCTCTGAGGTACTTGAAAGCTGTGACTCATATTCTGTAAAAGGCATAAACCACACCTTTGCTCACGAATTACAAGTGCAAAACTCACTAATATTTCAAAATCTTGATGGCAACAAATCAAACTTTGACTCGCTGGCAATTGAAATAGCTAGATTTACTAACAAATTCTCTGTAATTGGTCTCGCTGAAACAAATGTTGGCCCTGAATTGAAAAACTTGTACGAACTCACAGGCTATGAGAGCTTCTATCAAGATACCTTTGACTCGAAAGTAAAAGGCTCAGGAGTAGCTCTATATGTCCTTAACTCCTTTAATGCTGTTAAAAATAACAACCTGTCACAAGTAACAGAAAATCTAGAAACCCTCTTTGTAACCATAGGAAGTATAGGAAATTCTACTTCTATAGGAGTAATATACCGCCCTCCAAGTGGCAATGCTGAGCAAGCTCTCCAAGAATTGTCGTCAATCCTTGATAAAGCACCAAAACATACACAAATTGCAGGTGATTTTAACATTAATCTCCATGGTAAACACAGTAACATTATTGCACAGTATGAAGACGTCCTATTCAGTAGAGGCTTCTTCCCATTGATATCATTAGCAACTCATGAAAAGCCTGGATGTAATGCCTCATGCATCGACAACATCATTACAAATGACCTAGACTCTGTTACTGCCTCTGGAGTCATAACTGATCACATATCTCACCACCTCCCTATATTTAATATATCTGACTGGGAAATTAGCAAGACCAAAAATACTCATAAGCACACTCAATATTATGACTATTGTAAGTCAAACACTGATAAATTTGCTGAAGTCTTGGGTAATAAACTAGATAATGAACCAATTATAGATTTTACCAACTTTCATGATATCTTTAAAAACAGCATTGACGAAACCTGCAAACTAGCTGTACCCAAAACCACTAAGCGCACTATCCAGAACAACCCCTGGATTACTGGCGGGATTATAGCCTCAGTAAACCACTGCCATGGACTGTATGATGACTGGGCGAAAGTCAGGAAAGTTAAGTGTAAACAAGGCGAAACTGACACAAAAGGGGGCACATGCCTGTGTTCTATCTGCTGTAATAAAAGAAACCATTATGATGACTACAAAGAATATAGAAAGGCTCTAAAAAAGGTTCGTAAAATGGCTGTATCTGAATATTATTCTGACAAGTTTCTTGAAACTCAGGGAAACTCCAAGAAAACCTGGGAACTTATAAATAAAATTCGTGGCAAACAGAAACGTGAGATCAGACCTATATTTACCATAGACAATGAAAAGATAACTAATCGCAGAGTTATAGCGAATGAATTCAATAAGTATTTTGTATCCCTAGCATCTAACCTTAATGCAGCCTACACAGAACTAGGAGAAATACAAATTAATCAGCTTCCAAGTTTCTGTGACCTCTTACCTAAATCGAATACAGCTAATATATATCTACATGACTGCTCACCTGAAGAGGTGGCTAAGATCATATCGGAACTAAAGAATGGCAAGGCTAGTGATATACCAGTACATATAGTAAAGGCAGTATCAGGCAAAATTAGTCCACTACTATCGGTATTGTATAACGAATGTATGCAACAGGGAGTTTTTCCAGACGACCTAAAAGTAGGTAAAATAAGTCCAATATATAAGAAAGAAAATGCTGAGCTTCTTGAAAATTACAGGCCTATCTCAACCTTAGCGATATTTGGTAAAATACTTGAGAAAATTATATTCTCCAGGCTTTACAGTTTCTTCCAGTCGCAAGGATTATTATATGAAAATCAATATGGCTTCAGAAAAAATCATTCGACAAGCCATGCACTTAACTTCTCTGTCGACTACATTGAAAAATCACTAAGAGATAAAAATCATGTACTAGGCATCTTCATTGATTTAAGTAAAGCTTTTGATACAATCTGTCATGATAAACTGCTTAAAAAACTGAATGATTATGGAATTCGAGGGACTGCAAATAAATTAATAGCCAGTTACCTCTCTAATAGGCAGCAATATGTTTCAGTACTTGGAGAAGAATCCGAAAAACTGTCTGTAATATTTGGTGTGCCTCAGGGGTCAGTATTAGGTCCCTTGCTTTTCATTATCTACATCAATGAAATATATAGAGTATCAGACCTAGGTAAGTTTATACTTTTTGCCGATGACACCAACATATTTGTTGTAGATAAATGTATAAAAACACTTTACTGCAAAGCTAACAAAATTCTTAAACTTGTTCATCAATATATGAAGAGTAACTTGCTGCATATCAACACAAAGAAATGTTGTTATATCCACTTTAAGCCGAACTGTAGAAATGAACCAGATTCAAACACTAATGAATTAGAACTGACACTGAATAATATAATAATTAAAAAGGTAGAGGAAACTAAGTTTCTTGGAGTCATTATTGACCAAAAACTGAACTGGGATGCTCACTTGAGAGCGTTAAATCGTAAATTGAAATGTGAGATTGGTAGACTATGTGGAATCAGACGCTGTGTACCTAAAACACTCTATAAGGACCTGTACCACACCCTTTTTGAATCACACCTATGTTATGGAATATCTGTTTGGGGAGGTGT